TTTACCCTAAATTGCACTCCATAGTAAATTTACTCTGTACTAAAGAGTGGGCAGATGATCAACTTTCCACAGGCCAGCTATGCACAGTAGGCACTATTATAATGCCTGGCTGAAAGTGTTGGGGATAATCCATTTGTATTGAGAAAAGAGTTAGTGTAGGATGAAACTGACAAGGGGAGTAGAGACATGACTTATTGTGAGACCCGTCCCAAAGAGGCCTCTGGGAAGAGACCAAGCTGACATCCCAGAGGGGGGATCAGCTTTGTGGAACCTGGAGGCCATGGGATAATGACCTAATGCATCTGCTGATTCTGCTGAAATTAAGAAAAGGGAACTGTGCATAAGTAATCCAATGGCTCTAGAAAAGTACCTGAACTAACAGCTCTGGAAAGAGGAACTGCGGCACTGCCTAAATAACTGCCTGCCACTCTGAAAAGGGGAACTGCGGCAAGGCCTGAGGTGACCCTGCTTTGCAGCATCCGATGAGGTTTGGTTTAACTCGTAAAAGGTGATAAGGCTAGAAGCTTTGCATGATTGGAGGATCCCATGGGGATGGGAGGCAGAAGGGTATAAAGGCCATAAGGACAAAGCCTTGGGCAGAACTACTTTGGGGAGGACAAGGCTGAGGACCTGATAAAGGAGGTAGTCTCACCACCCTGGACACAGGGTGGGGTTACCAAGACCTATCAGGTAATAACATAGAACAGGGTGGGCCTTTCCTCCAGCCCGATGCACTAGCGGCTTGTAGGCATATAATAATAACTGTGTATGGGTGTGTGTGTTGTATTCTTTGCAATAAAGAATTTTAACTGGGTTTTACCTTGGCGTGTGACTTGTGGGTTACTTACTTTCCCCCTTAGGAAGGGAGGGAGCCCCTACACCTATCCACTAGTGTAACTTACATCAGTATAATTACTCCGCAGAGGCAGCATCTACATGAGATGTTTACTGTGGAGTAGACTAGTTAGCACCGCAGTAAACATTACACATCTATATGTGGAACCCTATTAAGAAGAACAAAACTAATTAACTCCACAGCAGGTTAGTACTTGTAAATACAAGTACTATCCTACTGCAGAATTATTTGCTGTGCATCAATGCACATGTAGATGCTGACACGGGCGTAAATTGCTCCTGGTCAGCCCATGCAGCAGAGGGCCACACTCCTGTCTGCTGCCTAGTCACATGGCTAAGCAGTTGCAGGAGCCTTATGGCACAGTCAGTTCCTCCACTGCTTAGGACAGCCACCCACTGCCAAGGCCTGGCCCTCCATGTCCCCTGCCAGCCTGGGCTGCCCTCCAGACCCTGGGCCACAATGCCAGTGCCAGCCAGACCCTGGCTGCTGGAGTGGGGGCAGATCAGGGCAGAAGCAGCCCTGGACTAAACTGGTCATCTCCCTGGCTCAATTTGCTGCTGTCCCAGGTGCATGTGTAGATGCTGTGCCTGGCAGTAGTTTATTGCGGCACAACTTGCTCTGCAGTTTATTCAGTTGCATTAATTGCTTGTGTAGATGTGTCCAGTGTGGAGTGATTTACATTGGTGTAATGCTGTGCATAGCGTGTTCTTTTACTTTTCCTATGGAAAAAAGTCAAATAACTTTGTAAGAAACATGTCATGACACAACATCATGAACCAAATTCTGTCTTCTGAGACATGAATTTTCACTGGAGTCAATGAAAATTACACAAGAATATCCAATGTCAGGACCTGGAGGTAGGACTCCATTGAAGGATCTTACAGATGCAACAGATGGGAAGGAAGGAGGGAAGAAAAAAGACTTTGTTTATATGTAAAGGGGTAAATCTTGACCTCCATCATTCTTAAGCAACTACACTGCAATCAGAATTTCATTCCAAATATTATGATATTTTATTTAAACATGTAAGGGCATCTGTGTGTGTGTGTGTGTGTGGTGTATGTGTGTGGGGGGAGAAGGGTGGGGAGAGGGGTCAGCGAATCCAAGGAGAAAAACTTTAGTTTTCAATGTTACATATTTCAAAGTTGACTTTCTTATTAAAGTCTGTCTTTAAGAGCAAGAGAAGAAAAGCGTGAAGTATGCCTTATATGCATTAGATTTATTTTATCCACAGCAAGAACACTAAGATAACTCTTTTATTCCCCTAATTCATCTTTAAGGGATATTCTCTATACCATTGCAAAACACCATAGATTTAAATGGGTGTTTTGTGAACCAGATTACCTTTGAACATCAGTTTTAAAAGTTTATATTTTAGTCTGTACAGGGGAAGACTGGAATTCAATATCCAAAGTCTGACTATCAAATTATTTTTGTATTGGATTAGGTGTTTCAAGTACATATTATGTGTGTAGTATACACACACAACATTTTGCCTCTTTAGAACATGAGGTCTGTGGAGGAAAATAAACTGTTTAATTTAACTGTGATAATAATTGGCAACACGCTACCTGGGCTAATGTATGCAGAGGACTATGTATAAAAGCACTCCATTGAACATTTTCACTTTATACTTTCCTAGGCACAGCTGCAGTTAACGTCCAGTCAACCATTAGTTACTGTATACATAGAAGATATAATATTCTATGGACCCAATAGATTTTTTCACCGTGTTGCACCTAAATGGGTCTCTTCTATTGGCTAAGGTTGCCTCATTACTTCCAGCTGACATAAAACTGTTTACTAATCCTACATTATTTGGAGTCTCCATTTAAATGCACCCTTTATCATTGATTTAGGCAGCATGAGATATTTTAATTCCTGCCTACGCTAAAGCTCACTGGCCATTGTGCTTAGGATATTATTATCTCAGCATTGAGCAAGCATGACATTCTGATTGTTTTCTACTGCAAATGCATATCTGGTAATGACAAGTAACTAAAGAGTGTGTGCAGGTTTTAACACCATGTCAGTCAAGCACTCTGCTCTCCCAGAAAAAAAGGAATATTTTATCCCACCAACTCATACACCCACACACAAAATCATTTAGAGGAAGGTTCAGTCAGAAAGGAAGAGGATGGTCTAGTGTTTAAAGGGCTCGCTTGGGCCTCTGGAGATCTGGGTTCAACTTCAAACTTCCCATGACCTTAGGCAAGTCACATAAAGCTGGATCTACAAAACGATTTAAGAGTTATGCATGACAAAACCTAGGTGGCTCTGCCAGCCAGTGGAAGTCACAGCTCCAGGTTAGGCACCTGTGCTCCACTGGCAGAAACCAGGAGTGAAAAAGCTGACTGGGTAGATGTCTCAGCTACGTAACAGAAAATGCTGAAGAGAGACTTGGAACCTAAGCCCAGCCGTTCAAAGATTGTTAGGCACCTATTTTCACCTGCAAATTCTTTCCTTGAGTCAGGGCCAAACCCAGGTCAATTCTATATGATGAAAAATCAAGAGACGGACATCATCCACTTGTAGCCAATAGCTTATTGGTTAAGATAGTTACCTAGGTTGGGGGAAGATCCATTTTCAAGTCCCTGCACTGCTTGAAATGATCCAGGAATTTGAATATAAATTTTCCATATCCCAGAAAACAGCCTCCAACAACCAGGCTATACCATAATGACTTTCTTAATCTCTCCTGTTGGAGCTGTTCCAATATGTATAAGTAATTCATTAGAGTAGAGACCTCAACTTGGGTCTTCCATTAATGCCCTTATAATCAGGCTATAGAATCACTCACTGTGTTCTGTGTGAAACCCATTCTGCTGGTGGGTATAGGAAATGGCCTGGTGGTTTTTCCAATACAAAAAAATATTGTTCAGAAGTCCCTTTTGCACAGGGCCTGGTTTGGTACATGTGCTCCAAGAAGGCATACCCCACATTGCAAACAGGTCAGGAGGGGAACATCTATTTGAGAAATCTGCCAGGCTCAGGCATGCAGTTAGACCCTAGGAATCTGTGTTGTCAGGACTTCGGTGGTTTTATATATTAGCAGAAATGTAGGGGACACTACCAACAGAAAAAACAGATGCTTGCGGGAATGGAGAATTTGAGGATCTCAGTGGGGCTTAAATACTGGATTTAGATGCTGAGTTTCTTCATGGAATTGGTCCTTAACCTCTTTTGTCCAAGTTTCTTGTCTGATGATTGGAGGTAATGGTACTTCCCAACCTGAGATGTTCTGAGGATAATTCACTAAAAAGAGAAGGCCCACAGACAATGCAATAATGGTACAAGTAACTTAGACAGATATAGCAACACACCAGGGTGCTACTAAATTACATATATAATTACTACTTCTACTAATAACAACTCTAATAATAATGAAGGAAGTAGCTATCCAGTCATCATTACTTCAGCAGACAAATATTTTCAACAGATGCCTGGGACAAGCAGTACCTGGCTGAGGAGACAAAGAACTTGACGGTACCTAAGCATGACACCAACAGACTTACAAACCAAGACAGGCAAGCAGCCATCCCATTGTCCATGACCCCACAAAGGAATCCATCATCTTAGACTGGAAATCAAACACCACCAGAAACAGATGAACTATATATATCAACTTCTATACATGCCAACTTATTTAAATCAATCTATCTACCTTTCTATATACCTTTCTATCTTCTGGGTAGCCAGTGTAATAGTCCATGATAATATTCATTCCAACACTTCTTTACAACTTTTGTTACCTGTACTAGCTAGATCAGTGCCGGTATGCATTTAGCAAAGAAAACGCATTTGCTAGGTACACATTCTGTAAACATATTTAAAAGATTTTGTTCTTTAAACATCAATTCTACAGAGAACTTTGGCCTGTGTGGAGTCCCACTCACCTCATATCCAGGGAGACATTAATGCTGGCTTTGTCTTTGCAGGGTCAGTACCTTAGTGGTTATCAGTCTGTGAGACCTGCAAGCCAGGAACGATACCTTTATATTTTGGTTTAGTTTGGAAAATTAATAAGCCATGCTCATTTTAGTTATTTCTCTAATTTCTTTCACCTGCTCTCTTTCACGGCAAAGAAATTAATTAGAAAAAATAAGTGAAGTTGTCTAAGGAGAAAGTTTGGGAATGACTGACAAGAGCTACAGTCTGTTCTTCTTAATGGAGCTCTCTCAGCCGATAAATCTCCCTCTCTCTCCCAACATAAAACACCGTTTTCTCCTAGGATGTTTAATGATGTCATTAGTAACAATAAAAATAATTAAAAACATATAATAAAAATTTCTCTTTTCCTTAAATGTAGAAGAAGTTGGCTGAGGATGGGAAGTTCCCTCTGAAATGTGGGAAAAAAGAATGCTGCAAATATGACCAGAGAGACCTTTGAGAACTGGCATGAAAAGAGTTTCCCTGGATATACTGTCCTGCAGTGCCCCCTGCTAATACAGCTATAAAGTGGTTGTTGATTCACACACCCTGTAGTCTGAGTTGCAAATCTCAGTTCAAATGGGCCAATACTGCAACCCCTTATTAACATAACATTGTTCATATGAATGAAGTTTCCTGTTCACATATATAATTACCCATGTGCATAAATATTTGGACCCCATGGCTGGTCTCTCCCTTAGGGCTACTATGGGTTCCTTGATTTTCATGCTTGTTTGTTTCTTTTATCTGTCTTTGCCAGGATTTTGTATGTTTTAGGATTTTTGCATGCAAGTAGGAAAATGTAATAGGAAATAATTGAACAGACTTAAAAAGAGACCTGGAAAGTTGAATACTAAGCTTCACTGAAAGCTAATGAAAACAGAAATTAATTGTCAGAGTGCTCCAGTCCAGTGACCCCTAGTTGGCAGATTCCAGATTACCTAGCAAAGGGGCTGTAATTTTGCCTTTTCCTCTTTCATTTGTTTAAGACGAAAAATGTGCGTCAAGTTAAGACAAGCTAGGAAAATGGGGACCTGGCTAGGATTTTATAAAACTCGGTCTAAATATAAATTTGATCATTGAAATGAGGGAGAAAAGAGCTATTACATCACCTGCTCCATTTCTTCTTTCCCATACAGCTTGGCACTACAGTACATTAACAAGTGCATTTTATAGTCTAATTTTAAATTGTTCCAAATAATGTGAGTTCTGCTACTTCCCTTGGGAGACTATTCCACAGCCTAATAGATCTCACTGCCAATATGTTTTTTTTCCCAGCTACTCAGCTCTAAATTTTCCCTTCTCTCAATTTTTATCATATTATTTCTATAGAAAACACTGCAACTCCCTAAATATTACCTTTCCCAACTGGTATTTAAAAACTTTAAATATTTGTATATCCATAAATCTGCTTGTAATTGTACCTAGCCAAGAGACATATTTAGCTCCTTTAGCTCTTTTAATCTTGCTGTATAAATCAATTCCTGAACCCCCTAGGACTACCATTTTCTGAATTACCTCCAATTTGTCCATATTTTCTGGAGATATGGACCAAAACACTTGAAAGGGACGAGAGGGAAAAGTTAACTTGTAAGCATAGTTATATCAGAGCTTCTTTGCCTAGCCAGTGTGTGATATGATATAATACCTCCCATCTATGCACCCCAAAATTATTGATATGCCACATTGCAAAGTCATATTGAATGTGTTGTCCATTGCCAGACTCAAGCATGAATGCTTCACAAGTGTGGAATGGGAAGAAGAAAGTGTCAATTGTGTTGAGGCTTGATCTCACAAGGTGCAATGCTTTGTGGGTAACATTGCTTATATGAGCAATCCTAGTAGCTTCAGTAGAGCTACCAGTCTAAAGTTATTTACAAATCCAGGTGCTTTTGCAGATCAGACATTTCATATTACATGCCTAAACTGTGCAAATGAATGCATGTCACTGTAGTTTTGACACACGCAGTTTGTGATTTATCACTAGATGATCCTACTGCATGCCAAGAAGTGCTGTGCTCCAGCTTGATGGCTGTGCAGGGAAACAGAATTGCCTAGGTATGCGTGTAGAGCCAGGCAAACCCAAAAATTTTAGTAAGGCAAAAACCGTGAACAGCAGAAGGTCCTCCTGCCTTTTAACTTAATAGTTATTTAGGGTAGGGACAGACATTCAGGCCTGAGCCTGAATTGATTCAATCTTTGAAAGTAAGTCTAACCTAGCTAGGCTAAATCAATTTTGTGACCAGACAGACACCCTAGAAATGCAGGTACATGTCTGCAGTGGCTCAGGCTAGAAACTGGAAGTGGGGGTTGGGTGCTAGAGCAGCCCTCTCTTCCCTTCAACAGAGCTGAGCTGAGGAGGGGCATGGCCAGACCCCAGCAGGATGCTGTGATTAGGGAGGGGTTTCTCTCCCTCCTGACCAGCCCAGCAGGGAATGTTTATCACCCCTAATTCAGTGTTTATCAGCCCATTAAGAAAACAACAGAGGGACATTACCAGCTATCTGTTGATTCTGCCCTTGTCCCTTGTGCCACAGCTTGGAGGTAGCTAGCATGTGGTCTCAGCTAATGCTGAGAGGTGTCTGTGATGGATGGGGGAATACCTGCTTAGCAGAGAGTGGGGAGGGGGAACAGAACCCAGCGAGATGCCTGCAGACAGTACTGGAGCTGCAGCCAGGGAGCAGAGGGGAGGGGCCAGCCCTGCTGTGGCCCCTCCCATAGCCCAGAGAGCACCCCGCCGAGCCCAGAGAGCATGCTGGGACCACATGCTGGCTACCTCCAGGTACGGGGATTTTCTATTTCATCATCAGGGGCCAACAGAATCCCACACTTTGTGTAAGTACCAAAAACTATAGTAGAACTACCACTTACGCACAAAAAATGAAATAGGATTTAGCCCTTAATCCACTTTCTTCTTACAAAAGGCAGCAATTCTTGAAGTTCCAAAATCATTCACTACTGTTATAACAAATGCCTTGGTTCTGTTATTTTAGCTACGTGTGTGTGTGTGTGTGTGTGTGTGTGTATTCTGATACAACCTATCATATTGTATTTCTTGGACTTTTGCTGTTTTTATCCTGCCCAAACTCTCTCTCAAAGGAAAGACAAATATTAGATAAATAAAATAAAATAAAAAATAAATAAAGCAAAGGCTAGGTGGACATCTAGATTATGATACTGGTAGATTGTTAAAAAATAAAATCTGAATCGAACTATGACCCTGGAAGATGTGGAAGTCAATGTAAAAATGGTAGAAAAAAGGAAGACAATTGAAAAGAATGATAAAAAAAAGGATGAATCATAATAAAATTACTATTGAAAATGAATAAAATTATTGTGTAATAACCTGAAACAACAAGAACCTTTTGGTAAAGTTACTGAGAAAATATGTTTATTCTCATATTTATGTCAGATCACAGATGTGATACTTGCTCTTTTGATTTATACTGCACAAAGTTAAAAGTCATAAAAAGAGTTTATAAAAAGTGTATTTAATAAAGAAATCTTCAGCGTGTTATTTTCTATAAGCTTCTACAGGGAAATTCTAAAATCATATGTGAATGGCTGTAAGACTGTTGAGGAAAAATCTTCCATATTAGAGCTTTCAGTGTAGCCTGTAACATCATAGCTAAAAAGTCAGGGTCACAACAAATATTATTCAATGCTACAGGGGGAAAATATGCCATGCAACATATAAAGACATTAAAATAAATATAGATTAAGAAGTGAAATCTGACAAATATAGGCTCCACATTTTAGGGAATCTGAGTACCACTGTGAGACCCCCAATCTTGGAGGATTATACCTCCATTGCTTAACTGGGTCAGAGTAAAAGATTTGGATCTGGTTCCAACTCCTTCAGTGGCTGGGGTGTTCTGAAGTTTGATTTTGATATAGGCACCTTTGAATTTAATCCTGCAGTCCTTGCTTAGGCAGGACTCCCGCTGTAGTCAATGCCTAAGGCATGCAGAATCAGATTCGCTTTTTGGACTCCAAGCTTTGTTTATTTCTGATGTGATGAAAGTCTTTCATATTGTGCAGCATTTCATTAGGTTGAATAAAGACACACCAAATTAAAATTAATCTAAAGCAAATGAACTAACAGCATAGGCACAGATACCATAGAGAGGAGATGTCTTCAGCATTTTAATATATGACTACAGGTACAAACAGGACTCCTTTTCATTACTAGCACCCCACACACACACACTTTCTTCTGTGTAGTTGCACGTCTACCTAAGACAACAAATGCATTCAATCCTGGTGTACTATCTCAGCTTCCATTTACAAATTTGATTCAACCGTATTTAGACATCAATATTGCAGGAATATGAGGCAGAAGCATAATCCTAGAAAATTCACCTAAAAACAAGTTCATATATAACAAATCACACAAAAACAGGCAGAGCACTTAAACGTCCAGAAAGTATTTTCCCTATAGGGTTAAAAGCAGAACTGCTGCTGAAACCCTTGCAAGTGTGAGTTCTGATTTTGATCCCCCTCTCCTACATTTGTAGACATGCACTTTCCTTTATACACAACAATTAGGAATGAATCTTAAATAAACAATTTCTATTGTTGTATTTGGCTATTATCAACTGTATCAAAATGTAGAGGGGAAAAAGAAACCAAATTTCTGCTTTAAATAAATAATTTAGGATATTGATCTCAGCATTGCATCAAGTTAGATTACATTCAAACTAGTGAGGCAGCCCTGTATAAACTTCCCATTATAGAATCCTTGTTATAAACAGGTTTCAGTCATTTAAAGTGCTGAAGGAGCCCTCATCAAATAGGGTTGGCTGATTATTATAATGTCACCTGCTGCTGCTATTACTGATGTTGTATCAGCATTTACATTATAACCTCCTATTTTAGGTGCCTTATTTCTGAGCTGTGAAAAAAAAGGATCTGAACAGAAAGTTAGTGTCAAAAGATGAGCATTTTTGCATGTAGTTAAAATAATCAGTTCATACCTTTTAAGTATAATGGAGAATAATAATATAATCTTACTGTTTATCACTCTATGAAGTAAAAGAAACAAAAATGGATTATTTCCCCTACTTAACTCCCTCATCCCAAAAAGCAGAACTATTGTGGTTTTCAAAAACCATCCTTTTGTTTATTCTGATTGTATGTCATATCCCTTCCCCTTGAAAACTCTGCATCTCCCTTTACTGCAAATTATCTGCAGCAGAGCCAGTTTTTTGCTCTCTTTTTGTGAAGTCCCCTGACCCAATGGGGATATGATCATGGCTGCAGCCTCCAGACACTCCTGTAACATAAATAAAAATATATTTTTTAAAACCTACCCTTTGGAAATCATTAAATCTCTAAAATGATAAATGATCTTCATCATTTTAGAGATTTTGCAAATAAAAGACAGAAGCAGACACCTTTGAAAACAATATCTACTTCACATGCATCATTTTTTTGTGTGCAAATGCTGTTTAAAATAGGTGAAATCCTAGCCCAATGTTTTAAAATCTAAATATAGGAAGAGCTCGTCTTATTAATACACACAATCTGTTGGGTAAATATTGTATTTTGATTTTCTTCTTCAGACTTGTTTGCAGCATCTCTCATCATAGTTCCACAGAAGCTGTTTCAATCTACTAGGTCATTACCAAGGTAGAGCTTTATTTTTATAGATCAATAAATTGCACATTTTTAGACAATAGACAATATTGGTTTCAGGGAACCAATCAGATCAACGATGCACATTTTGAAAAGGTTTTGAATACCTAAAATATTTCTTTTTTTTTTTACAAGTTTAAAAATATCTACATAATCTGTATTATAACAGTTCCTGAGGACAGACATCGAATGCCCTCATGGTTGTTCTCTTTTCCCATTTTCCCAATCCAGCTATTTTGTAGCAAGTTCTTCTGATATGCTGGTATCCCAATACCATTACAATGAAACACAGATGAATCAGTATGGTGGACACCACTGAGGCTGCATCTAACCTAATGACTCTGGCATTAAAGAAGAGGAGATTTAAGTGCAATAAATTTGTGAAACAAAAGTATATTATCAAACACATTTAGAGTTGTGTAGTAAAGCACAGCAATATTATTTATCCTTGGTTGAGGAGATTCAGCTACATTCACCATCTTGGCCAACTGTGCTCAAAGGAAGGAGTAAGCATTGGGTACATGATAGAAAAAGGGGAAAAAACACTTGCTTTAGGGAGCATAGTGTTTCAACCCCATGTAATGGGGCTTGTTTGAACCTCAAGCTCAGTGCTTTTCTGGTAATTTATTGTATTGCTATCAACACTATACGACACCTTCTCAACTGGCAGGATAACATTTCATTTTTTTGTGAGATAGATAGATAGATAGTTAGATAGATAGATAGATAGATAATGTTTTTGAAATGGTAGAGTTTCATGTTTGCCCCTTTTTGCAACTGAGTGAAATAAAATGTAAGTAATGGGGGTCCTGATAGTCTTCCTAATCGGGG